CGAAACACCCTGAAAATCTCCAAAGGGGTGCAAAAGTCTTTTTCACATTTGTAAAAATTTTTATTATTTTCGTTCCCTTTCGTATTTACTGGCACTATTTTGTTATTTTTAGATGCCAGGAGCGTAATTTTCAACTCCGGATAAAGAAAGGATCGTCGAGGCAAGGAAGGAAGGAATGCCACGACAAGACGCGTTGTCCCCTCTTAGGATGCGCGCCCAACAACAGTTCCTCTTGTTATGGCGAAAATGAATGGGTCTGGAAGTAAAAAGATGTAGGGTGCGGGACGGCCGTGGATTTCAGCAACAAAGAATGAAAACTGATTTTTTACGGGTTCTTTCGGGCAAGGATCCGAATTTAACGTAGAATGATGGAGCGTTCCTTTTCAAGCAAACTTCAAACAAGAATATTTCCTGTTGGACCTTGCATCGCGCTTTGCTTCAAGCAGCATTGTATACTGTAGCTGACCTGCTCGCTCGCGGGGGATGGCAGCCAAACAAAGCGGAGGTAGCTGTCTTCAATTTCATTTCGAAACCTATTCAAACTCGTCAATCGATGATTGGGCCTGAGTGATTTTCGTTGATGAAACAAAAGTTTGTATTTTTCCTTCAAATCGAAATCATCTGATCCGACGTCCAATTGGAAAGCGATATCAACTCAAGTACTTGGCAGCCTCCAAGGTGAAAACAGGCGGGGGGATCAAGGATGTGTTTCGGTGAGGATAATTTTCTTTTTGGCGCAGCTCAACATGATTTCTTTTAGGTGCGATATGTAAAAGCTCAACGGGTTCCATTTGTCCTCGTGAATCAACAATGGATTTCGCCAATGGTATTGAAATATTGGACAGATGTCTACTTCCATTTGATACTGCTTGGATGAATCCAGGATGGTTTCTTTATCAAGATAATTTGTTGAAATACGCAAAAGCAAGCTTTTGATGGGCCGCTGTGAGACTCTCTCGAATGGGGGCAAAGTAATATTTACCGGAATGGTTTGAGATCAATCCACGTTCTTTAATCTCAAAGTTCTACTATTTTCTCCGTGGATTTGAATGTTTTCGAGAATTTATGGGCCTAGTTGAAATTGAAATTGGTGAGGAAAAACTATTCAATTCTAAAGTCGAGCATGGTTTTACATCAGAAAAATTTTGAGAAGGATTGGACCTGTAATTCTTAAGATGAACAAATTGCATTGATGCCTAATCGTATTAAAGAAGTACTTTTGGCAAAAGGAGGAGTGACTAAATATGGATTAAAGCGTAATCTCGTTTCCTTTTGTGAAAAGACTTTAGCACCACGATTTCTAGGGGTGTTTTGAAAATGATATCTTTTTCTCGATGAATAAGTGTTGTATAGCGATAACGTTTGTGTAAATAAATTGTGGCTACATTTATGTAACTAAAACTATTAATAGCTTAAAGATGCATATGAACTTTTATCAAAGTTTTTTTGTGTGGGGGGGGGGGGGGGGGGGGGGGGGGGGGGGGGGGGGGGGGGGGGGGGGGGGGGGGGGGGTTTTTTTTTTTTTTTTTTGGGGGGGGGGGGGGGGGGGGGGGGGGGGGGGGGGGGGGGGGGGGGGGGGGGGGGGGGGGGGGGGGGGGGGGGGGGGGGGGGGGGGGGGGGGGGGGGGGGGGGGGGGGGGGGGGGGGGGGGGGGGGGGGGGGGGGGGGGGGGGATGCTTTTCTGAAAGATGCATAATTCTGAAAGCTACCTTTTGGAAGACGCATTACTCTAGGGTTACCCTAAGGTTGGTCTGGAATGCTAGATAGTTAGTTATTTCAAAAATCAGCTGCAGGAGCGGGATTTGTGCAAATGGCTATGCTTTAATTATTCCAATATACGGCAATGAGCAAAAAGACTGGGACTTATTTTATCAATGTTCCCCGGCTTTTCTATCTATTTGTTCAGCTACTTTTTGCAAAACTCACTGGAAACATCGATTTCTCGCAGCGTGCCCCAGTTGCCTCATAATCCTGATGAGATCGGTTTTCACATGAATATCGAAAATCTCTGCAATCATTGCAGAATTCATTCAGCGGCAAAGAGAACAACTTTTTGTCGAATTTCTTGCAGCTCATAAAGAGAAATCTTTGCCGGGTCTCGTTGATGAACAAATTGTTTGCAAATATCTCCATAAGTCACACTGAGTTCGAGCATTCGATTGAATTCATCCGCATCCACCCCAGCTACGCTTCTCTTTGGCTTGTCTTCGGCAACAATCAGCTTCTGTGCGCGCTTGTTCAAAGAGATTCGCTTTCTGAGTGATTCCATTTTCAGCAAGGAAAGCAGAAAAAGTTGCCATTGCAACTAGAATGTAGTTGGATTCTTTTTGATATCCATTGATGAGTCGCTCAAATTTTCGAATCGAGGTTTTCTTCACCTCCTCGGCTGCATCTGCTTCTGAGGCGAGTTTTTGTGGGTTTTCGAGAGATTTTATGGTGATTCGTTGCTCGTACGGGATTCGCTCGTGAGCATTTATGTGACAGAAGCATTTATTGCAGGACCTGTACTCAAAGGACCGCACATCTGGTCTAGTGTTCCAATATCGCCTAAGCTACAATCTTTGTGATGAAACCTGTAGATCAGCGCTTTTTTTCCATCAATTCTTTCATACTTTGCACATTTTTGACTGGGACAAACGGTTTGGGGCATCGATAGCGGTAAGATTTCCACGAAGTCACTCGAATTCCGTTGCCAATCTCCTGCAATTCTTCAACATTGTTCTCAGCTTGCATCAGCTCCTTTCCTTCTCAGTTTCCCATCCAGTTGCTGCAAGCCTTTCTGAATCATTGCAATAAGTTTTGAGAATTGGACTGATTAACTGATAGATCCAAGTCCGAGTCTCATTGATTGACAACAGCGTGTCCGAGGTGTTGTGCGGGCGAGCTTTCGTATGCGGATCCAACAATTTCTGCACTTGGTTCGACGAATGTTTCCCAGCTATCATCAAACGTTTTTATTTCCCTTTGTATCGAATTGAATGTCACCGAAATGTTAATAAACAAATCGGAAAGCTTCATTGTCCAAACTGGAGATGTTGTTGTCATCACTCCTTGACTGTGAGTCCTTCTTTCTCCTTTCAGCTCATTGAAATAAGCCTTCAACGGTCCCACGGTATCACCCGGTCGATAAAAAGTTCCTCTAGCATTTGTGAAAACTCAGCAAGCGTTGTTGGCGGCCGTTTCACTCAAATTCCTGCCCCCAATTTCCTTGACCGAGTAGAAGCGGAAAGATTCCGTGGAGACGAGCCTCGCTTGCTTTTTGAAAAGAAAGCTAAAATCGCATGGATCTCTTTGAAAGGTGCGGTTACTGATCGAAGAATATTCTGAATGTTTTCCCCGTCTTTCGCGCGTCCTCTGGTATCATTCATTCCCGGAGTGTCACTGATATAAATATTGTGTCTATCTTGCTCAAACATATACGTCTTGGCGCGTTGAGTGGCGGATTGACCATTGTCCGCAAAAACCTCATTGTCGTGTGTGCTCCAAGATGGACATCGTGTCTCTTTGATAATTGCCGTCAACATTGTGAATTTATTTGGAATCACGCAATCGGCGCCTCGGCAGCAATCGCTTCATCTAAGGTTTTGTAAGTTCCATGAGTTGACAAGAGCGTTTATCCATGTTGATTTCCCCGACCTCGTTCGGTCGGAGCACCTGGGTATTGATCGATTCTTTTTCGTTGTTGGAGCCGAATTCTCGCACTTTGACATTTTCCTTCTGTAGCCACTGGATTTTCTTTCTTTTAACTTTTGGGTACTTATGTTTCACGACTTCGAGAGAAATCTCTTGGAGATGGAGGAGTGTATCTAGGCTGATTTGGAACAAGTTTCGGAACAATGGCTGGTGAAGGCTGCCCGATTTCTTAGCCTGACTTGAACACAATTTTGAATCGTTTTGGCTCTTTGTAGTTTTCATGCTTTCCGGTTTTGCTTTGCAGCTAACTTGGCTCCAGTTTTTCGGAGAAGCAGGAAGTTGTTTCTGTCTCTTCATTCAGGACTTGTACAGTTGGCTGGTCATCAGAAAATGTTTTGAAATCCGAGAAGAAAAGACAGCCACTCTTTGGCACCGTCAAGATCTCCCTTCCATTTTGCTAACGGCGCATTTTCGTTGTTGTCTTTAGATTCGGCACTTGTCGAGTAACGAGCCAGTTGGATTTCGGGTGCTCAGAAGAATGTTGAGACCTTCTGCCGGAAGTTCTCCGTAGGGCCATGGGGGGGAAGCTCTCCGGATTCTGGGACCCCGTTTTTTTTTTTTTTTTTTTTTTTTTTTTTTTTTTTTTTTTTTTTTTTTTTTTTTTTTTCTGCAAAGGACTGATGACTGCCTGGGAAGAATTCCGGTAAACACAAAAAAAAATCGGATGTTTCATCTTTCACTGATGAACATCAGCGGAGCAGAGACAAGCGCAAAACCAATTGGTGTCATCAAGGAGTCTTTTTTCGGCTTTGCAAATTGGGATCCATTTCCATTTTTTCTCTCAGTTTCAATAGTTGGATAGTAAGATTTTTGATTTGAGTTGGAAATTCTGTCAATATCTTGAATTTTCAGAAAATTGAGAATCTTCATAGGTTGGAGCTTCGAAAGCTTCTCGACGAGAAATTTCATTTGAATCGGTTTCAAGTCATAGCTCAAATTTGAAGGCCGACCAGGGATCTGGAGCTTTTTCAAACTGTTTGGACAAGTTGTTGTACATTTGTTTGGCACTCGTGAAATGGGAGTGTTTGAGGAGATAAAGGAAGATAAAGGCTTTTGTAGCTGAGATGACGCGTTCGTTCCTCGGAATTTTCGCCCAAGAGGTAATTTAGTAGTTCCGGAAAGTTTTCTTGGAGTATGTCCTCGTAGATACTGTGCAGCAATGGGTCCGATTGTGGTTTCTCGATTCATGAAGCTTTGTGGATCATTTGATGAATTGCAATCACTCAGTTCACTCGATTTAAACATTGACTGGATTTCAGTTTCTAACTGGCGGAATCTCAAATCGGGAGATCCAATAGAATGAAGTCATCCAGAGCCTTCTCCAATGGCTTCTTCCGAGAAATCATCCTGAAATTTCGTTTAATATTTGAAAATGGTATTTAATCCTTTAATAGAGCGGTGTTAGCATCTGAAAATTACCATGATTTGTCTCTAAGATTGTAGCTTTTAAAAATGACACGTTTTATTAAAGACTTGTTTCATTTTTAAGTTCTAGTGAAATAAATACACTCACTTGTTTGTCTTCTCTCAATAAATTCTTGCTAAAAGTTTTCAAGTAGAGTTCTTGTTGTTCGGGTGATAGATCTTGTAGACGGGCATTGATATTGTAGGCGTTCAGTTGGGCTTCACGAATCAAATTCACATCTTGGTCTCCGTTGAGCGAATCGACAGTGTTTCGTTGATCAGGTTCAGATTTTCTGGCGAGTGGCTAAAATTGCTTATTTATTTTTCGAATAATTCTCACTGGAATCTCATCAACTAAAGCTTTCCTGAAAAATCCTTTAGCCTAAATTAAGTTTAAGCAAATTGCAAACTAAAGCCAACTATTATGTCGATTAACAAAAACACTTACAGTATCAAAGTGTTGATTGCAACCGTTTTTTCCTTTGAACTCCACTTTGAAGCATCCACTCTTCCATTTGTTCCGGGAAATTCTGAAAAATCCTGTCTTTTAATTTACCTTTAATCTTTTTATAATACGCTGCTGATATTCTGGTTAGGCTATGAATTTTTTGCACTAATCGCTTAAATTTGCCTGTTGCTCAGCCAAAGTCGGCGCTTCAAGCTCAGCTGTCATCAGTTTCCATCGGCACCGGTGAAGTGTGAGGAAATTGAGAAGTCATATCATCTGAAAAATAAGTTATTGTTATTGAAACCCAACTGTCTTGTTATCAGAATTCGTCAGTGTGTCAAATGGCAAACGTTTATGAACAATTTCCTTGGTTTAAGTTTCCTACCTTGTGCTTCATTAGAGCAAAGAAGTCTAGAGACCATTCCACAAAAATGAACTAAAACTTTTATCAACTAAATTTCTAGACTAAACATGGAGAATGAAAAGTTGTCGATAGCAAACGGCCCAAACCGTTTTTGAAAGCAGCCAAAAGAGTTAACCAGAGAAATTTATTGATAAGAAATGAATGAATAAGAATATAAAGGTTTGTGAGAAAAAAGAAAATGATTGCTAGTTAAAGGAACATCAATGAACAAAAACACAACTTAATGAAATGCTTTATTTTCTCTTGTTCTTGTTCTTTTGTACTTGTTTTGTTGTTCTTTTGCTGTTGCTTCTTCCCTCCACCGCTCGAAGGTGCAGGGGGCTGAAAAGCGAAGTGTAAAGGTTTACTGAAGGTTTACTTTACCGTAACAAACATTGAAGTATGTTCTTTCTGGAGCAATGCGTTTCTTAAGGACACCTTTTGTAGAAAACTATCATAATTAAATTGTCAGTTTGCATTTAAATCAGCTCGATTTTGGTATCATTTTGTTGAGGAATCACAAGACTCAGTGGGCCAATCCCAAAACAACGCCGATCAAAGCAACACTGTGCCCAAACCAGCGCCGCGTAAAACAACGACGAAAAGAAAATTTATTTTTAGTCTCATTTTCAATTTAATCAGTTTTAATTAGTTTAGACTAAAATTGATTGAATCTATCTTACATTACCCAAAATTTTAAGCATTTTCGACTTGTGAAACTTTGGCTCATTTATATCAGTTTTAATTATGCTGCAAGCTTTTAAATCCAAATTTAGTTTTCAAGATCCAAAGTAACCAACGCAACTTTCAAACCCACATCTCTTTCTCGCCCGTCTTCTTGTACTTCCCAAAGTTCGCCGGTTGAACTTGCTTTGGTGGTGGTATTTAACCGTCACATGTTGTTTACGTTTTGCCAGCCCGTCTTCCGTCGCAGCAAACAAGTTCTTCAGAATTTTTCCCGTGTGTTTCCGCCCGAACAATTCCGCTTTCACATCACCTCAATCTCATCCGGGTAATCGTATTCGCTCCATTTGCAATCGGATTCTTCCCGCGCTTCGTTCAGCATGGTAACTTTCTCTTGTCGATACTCATCCAAAATCTTTTTCAAATTATCCAATTTCGATCGCTCACCACCAATATCCGTGACATTTCTCCTCTTCCGAAATTGTTTGCTCCACGTATTTCTCGACAGAGCGTCATTGCAGGGAAGGATGGCATTGGCTTGCAAAAAGCTTCCAAATCTAGAGAAGTTTTGATTGATTTTCTGTTGTTCTTTCTTTAACTACATCAATTGTATTCTCACAATCCCGAATCATTTCTCCTTCACTTTACTCGCGTCTTGTTTTTGTTGAATGAGAGTCTTTCGTGTTGTTGTCTTCGACTTGGACACCTAGTCTTGATTTGCTCAAAACGGATAGTGCATATGAGTACTCCAAAGACATTCGCACACTTGACAATTTGGTCTTCCAGCCATTGCGGCACATTGTTGAAGGTGGGGTTCAGGGTCACGTTCTCCATCAACATTTGTGAGAAAGCAATGATCACGAAATCAAACCTGTTTGTAGATGTTTGGTATTGAGTAGTGTGTGGCAATTGGATAGTATCAATGCATCTTTGAGCAGCACAAACGAGTTTTCAGGTAGTTCAACGGCTTGACTTCTATTCCAATTTGTGGAATCAGAAGCTTTTCTTCAAATCGTCTAAAGTTGCAGCTGTATTTTGGAGCTCTCTCTTTCTCTCATCAAATACTTTGATATTCGACTCGATCAACTCATTCACATCGGCCGATGGTTTCGCTAAATGAAAAATGACCGTCCTTGCCTTGTTGATCGAAACCGTATCAGCAACATGGATGAGGCCGTTGATGAGCGGTGAACTCAATAAAACGATGCGTTTCAGCAGCTGATTGTTTCCAGCTTCCAGCAAAATTTTGAAAGTCTTCTTCGGTGAATTTCGCTCCATTGAAATGAGCACAGACAAGTCGAAAAGCTTCATTATCAGTGCAACAGATTTTGTATCGCCTGTGAGGTGCAATTCGAAGTCCTCTTTCCTTGTGCAATTCAGTGAGAAAAGTATTTAATGGAGTCCATTGTATCACCGGGTTTATAAAAAGTGCCACGAGCATTTGTGAAAAGAAGATAATATTGTTAACAGCGTCTTTGTGGAGTTGGAGTAAGATCTCACTGATGCAATATCTGAAGCTCAACGTCATCTCTTGCTCCATTGGCCTTGAAGAGGAAGCAAATTGCGTGTAAATGCTTGTACTGTCCAATGGCGCCAAGAATTTTTCTTGTATTCTCTTTGTCTTGCTCAACTCCACGAGTATCTCCAATTTCCGGAGTATCAATGATATTCCCAATGTACTTGGACGTCTCAAATTGGTAGGATTTTCGGTTCTTGCGTCGACGATTGACCCTGATCGGAGAATGTCCCCATTCTCATCTTTCTCGGTTTACGATGGTTCAAGTCTCACATCAATCTTCGTCTCGTTTGTCTCGTAGAAGAGAACTTTGCTGGCAATAAGGCAAATCGGTTGTCGAGCGTTGAGTGCATCCTCAAGTGTGTCAAAGCTCATGTAATTCGTGATTCCATTGATCCAAGTCGATTTTCCGACTCCCCGTTTCACCAAGAACAAGAATGTTGAGCTCTTTCTTGGTGCCAGTGTGCTGTTCAGATTGAACCTTGAAAAATTGATTTGTTGGCTCATCGTTTTGCTCTTCTTCAGTCAGAATTCTTCTTCCAGATTTCTCCGATTCTTCACTTTCTTCAGAAAGCTCATTTGCTGATGTTGGCACATTTGACGGCACGGAAGAATTGTTGTTTTGCTGTGCTTGTTGAGAGTTGAGAACATTCCGTACATTTGCATCATCATCATTTAGAATTGCGGATCGGTTGGGTTGAAAGACATTAGTGGAACTGGTTGAGGATTTCCTGAAAATTTATCTTTGAATTTCAGACCTTTTTCAATTTTTAGCCTTAGCTTCTGGCGTTTCCAAGTCTCACAATCGGCCTTTTGAGCTGCTTTCAAACTTTTGTCAATCGCTTAATATTTTCAAATCTCACCTGGCAAGGCAAAATTCGGCGCAAAGCCAAAAGCATTGTTGACAGTTGCGGTGGAAATAGTGCTGGTTGATTTGCGCTGGTGTTTGCCGTTCTGTCCATTTTGTTGACCATTGCCTGAATTGTTCAAAAGTATTACAGGTTTTATATCAAGACTCTACTTAAGCTGAAATTCAAGTTCCATAGGAGTTATTTCTGATTTTAAGCCTCACCTGACATCGCACTATTCTGACAAATCCGAAAGAGTTGTTGAAGATTTGTTGTTGAGGATTTGGAGTCACTTCGTTGGACTTCACGTTCGAAGGTGTTCCGTCTTGTTTATGACCTAAATTCTTTGGTCATGCAGAAGGTATTCATAGTTCCCAAAACACATCCACAGTTTCAGTAATAGAAGTGAAGGAATTGGCGAGAAAGTAGATTTCCGGAAAGGGGATTGAACCCTCGGGGAGTCAATTATTGCAGGTATGTCAGATAGAAACCTATCAAAAACCCACGGTCTTTAGAGTTTGAGGTTTCAACTCTCTGTAAATGGTTCCCATTCAATTGTTTTGGAGCCAGCGGAATGCTGGATGGAGGCTGGAAATGGAGAGGGATATCTAAAAGTTTTCCGCTTCAGGCCTTTATGTTTTCTAGAAAAGTCTCATGTTTTCATTCATGAGGCTATTCGAAAACTGACCATTGGAAGACTGAGCATTTTCCCGTAAAAGCTCCCAGCATTGCTACTTGTTTCGGAAAGTTGTGGCGAAATGGGGCGCGGAGGTTCCGATCGAGCGACATAATTGACTGAAAAATGTCATGATACTTTAACAATATGCTTTAACTTCAACAACAACAACAATAGCAGTATCTAAGGTCTAAGATGCATGTACTTTTTTTCGCACACACTCTGTGCATAAGATGTACTTTGTGTTCACTAGATGCCTAAACGCATTCTTTCTGGTGCACGCGATTTCTCCAGTATTTTCTTCCTACAGTGGCGTTGATGTAAGCTCCCCCGCAAAGAAGCCGCTAAGACCCAAATGACCACACTTTCAAAGTCCTAACAAAATTCCAGACAATAGTCAACACTTTCAGAGTCCTAACAAACGCTTATCCTCCTGACAGATTGTCATTTAGCAAAGCGGAATCCATATTCGAAATCAGCATAAAATTCTGCATCGGATGGTATGGGTCACATAGGTTTTAGGTTCCCTTATCAGTATGAAAGCTTTCCTTTCCTAAAACTAGCCATTCGAGGAGTTGTCGTACTCCCATACAAGCTCCCAGCGTGGCTGTTTTGTGAGGGTTGAGGTGAATCAGATGGTGGGGGATATTGAGGTCGTAATTCTTTCTTGCCTGGGATTAGAGCTTTTTTGATTTTTGGATAAACAGGTTTATCCAAAACAGTCGCAAACGTTTAAACGTTAGTGGGTCGTTTTTCCATTTCCCACTATAAATTAAAATCGACAAGATGTTTACCTCTTTGCTCGAACTTTTGATCGGGAGCCTTCCGAGAAGTGCCGTGATACCCATCCACTCTCGTCGGCTAAAAGTTTCAAATGGCTCCTGTAAAACCTCTTACACGTCATACAAGCCTTGACATTATGACCGGTCTTGCAAAGGAATCAAAACTAAGTTAAGGGTATTCTTGAGCTCACCCGTGCTTTGTTGTTTTGACGTTTCGTTTGTTGCTCCGGAGGTGGTTCGAATCGTTGTGCCTGAATCGATTTATGAGATTTGTCTCAAAGTTTTAACTAGAGTGTGTTCATCTCCAAGTCCACTTTTACCAAGTATCTTTTCTCTATTTTATCCAATCGAAATCCTCCCGAATCATCTGAAAAGTAGTTCCTATCTTGGATAGAACTAGAGACAAGTAAAGTAAAACTACAGCAATTGTATTTATCGAAACTCTTATTGCGAAGGATGCACGTTTTCAACCTAATTATAAGCTCAACCCACCGGTGATTTGTAAGCATAAAGCGCTAGATGTTTCCAGTTGACGAATCTTTGAGGGTTGCGGCGCATATTCGACAACGATTCGTTGCACATTTTCATCAGTGAATGTCCACAATTACACGACGAGGTCTTCCATTTTGTTCAAATCGTCTCTTCTCGTTTGATCTCGCGAATATTTCCGGCCAGACTTTCCGCGTTGATCGCATATAAAACTTGATGAAAAGCATTCCGATCGGCTTGCTCTTTCATCTGATCATCACCAAACAGTTCTGGGAGGTTGAAAAGTACAATTTTCTTCTTCACATCTGCATCGGGATCATTGGAATGAATTGGTTGTTGTGAAGGGTTGAATTGACGTGTTTGATCGAAAGAAGCCGACTCCGTTGCACCGACGTCATCAGCCTGAAATGTTCGTGTAAATTTAGCTACAAAACTCTGAACTTTTATATTTTACTATCAGCTTCATTTCTAGTTTGAAGTCTTTACAATCACTGTTGAAAGACACTGCACTGATTGCAGAATCAGATCGACAGGCCATCTACAGTGTAGTATAGAAAGGAAAGCAAACCTATACAAGTGACCAGAAATAACGTTGCGGCCTAATTTAGCCTATTTTTAAAAATCCGAAAAGATTTTGTAACAGAAACAATTTTTATTGACAACATGATATAAAGAGAGCATAAAATCTACTTTTCTTCAAAGTTTTAAGAAAACCTTTGGCTCTGATGCAGAGCCTCAAACGCTTGATGAAGTTTTTGGCGATGGGCCGCAGCCCGGTCAGGTGATTCGATCCCATTCCCTGGTCAACGATCGCTTAAGCGCCTTTTGTGGGGTTTTGCACAGGACCTTGCCTCCAAAATTGACCAAACACTGTAGTCAAGGGATTGAGATCGCACGAATACGGAGGCCATTCCTGGCCGAGATGAAATCCGGAAAGTTTGTCCTACACCAGTCCTGTGTGAATTTGGCTCGACGAGAAGGGGCGGAGTCTTGTTGGAAGGGCCAAAATCCGTTACCAAAATGCTGTTAAGCCCAGGGAAGCAAAACATCCTCAAGAATCTTTTTTTGGTAACATCCATATTGATTTTTACCCCCAGAATCGATGTAAATGAGAGGAGTTTTGCCAGTTGCGCAGATTCCGGCCCATACCATGACCGATTTGGGATTTTGTCGGTGTTGAACAATCGCAGAGCTGCCTGGAGAGGACGTTGACCAAATCCGATAGTTTTGGTGGTTGTAGCTTTGCTCCACCGAGAAGAGCTTCTCGTCAGAAAGCAGGATTCGCTCCCGCTTGAGAAGCTCTCGATATCTTCGAGTCGAACTCGTTTGTTGTCGTCGTCAAGTTGTTGCCCTTGCTTGAGCTTGTAGGGTGAAGACTGAGCTCATTTTTGGCCATAAGTCGAACCGATTCGCGAGCGATCCCCGTCTGTCAGGCGATCTTTCTCGTTGAGACCTGTGGATTCCGGGCCGCGCGCTTCTGAATCACTTTGCGATTTCTGGAGGTGTTGACTGTTCTTTTTCTGCCTCTTCCTGGACGATCTTCATCGTTGCCAAGCTCCTTGTATAGCTTAATCGCTTTTGAGACGAGCTGATGACAAACACGTAGCAATCGCGCGATCGCACTCCCGCATTGACCTTGACCATGAAGCTCAGAATGCCAGATCCTTTGCTTGACATCCTATAAAAAGGAATAGACTTGAAGAGAGTAAAATAACAAAGAAACTAATAAAAACAATCACAGAGATAGGATAAAAATAAATTTGAAACTTTGAGGATTTTAGGCTGCCGAAAATCCCGCAACGCTATTTCGGGTCTATCCCAAAACAACGCCGTACCCAAAACAGCACCGCCCAAAACAGCGCCAATGCAAAAACGCCCAAAACAACGACCAGCAAAAAATTATTTTTAAAATTTTTGCTTTTGCTTTTCTTTGCTGTTTTTAACTTTTTCTGTCCACTTTTTGTGTTTCTAGAATACAAAAAAGGCGGAGAATCCGATTTTTTAAAGCTTTACGCATAGAAACCTGCGATAGCGTTTATTAAAGTGATTTTAACCAAAAAAACAAATTTTTCCTTTTACGGCCTGTTTTTTAACGTTTTCACTAGCTTTTTATTTTTGTAGGTAACAAAGCAATCTGAAACGGAACGAGGCGTTGCTGCATACTCATCATCGTCGTCTCATCATCACGGACCGCCGTGAAATTTTGAGGTATATTTTATCAGCATTATGGATGTGTGACTTAATATTTGGTTCGCCTAGCCATTTAGCATTTTCATTTTGCAGGTAATAACAATAACAAACAGTTCACCCGACGTAACACGCCTACTCAATGTTTCCGGTTTGCAAAAATGGCGAGGCGAGTAATTCCTGTCGCAAAAATGTGGCAAGTCCGGTCGATGATGGAAAATTTCGTACGCTTTTTAAATGATTTATATAGAATTTAAAATAAAGGTACAAGCTTTCTACGTTTCGACACTTGCGATGCGTACACATCTTGCAATGAAAAGGCAATGAAAGTCTTCTGGACGGATTAGGGAAAACAACAATTTATATTGCATATTGCAGGTTAGCTATATATTTGTAAAATTTTTTATTGTACTTGAGGATGCCATTTGGTCCTGCGACGGGATATTTGCTTCCGCGCCTGCAGGATTTAAACAAGTCTTCATGTGGCATCGAGGTTGGTTTATTTTAATAAAAGTCCAAATTTAAGAAATTTTTAGAAAGAAATTGAACATATGTTTGTTCCCTGCGTGTATGCCTTTTGAATCGAAGGATGCTAACACCTACAAGGAAGTCTTTGGCTACCTTCAAGCAGCTGGCATACCACCTCCGCACAAATTAAAAACAGGTTGGTTTAAATATATCTTAGTTTTATAATTTTTCCTGATATGGAGTTGGCGTTGTACTGTAGTTTCAATCTTGCCTATCCCCACTCTGCAACGAAAGTGCACTATTGTACTTTTCATTTTTTCAAGAGCGTTTATGGAGCTATTTTTGATGTTTTTATGCATCGTTTAATTGTTGGTCATGTTATTTTTTAAATAAATTATCAAAATTAAAAGCTGCTAATAAAAAATGAATTGTACATTGTAAAAAAAAAACTCTGTTTTTGCATCGACCCTGTTTTAGGCGTTTTTCATTGGCGCTGTTTTGGGTACGGCGCTATTTTGGAGTACGGCGCTATTTTGGGTGGCGCTGTTTTGGCGGCGCTGTTTTGGCGGCGCTGTTTTGGCGGCGCTGTTTTGGCGGCGCTGTTTTGGGATAGACCCCTTATTTCTGGTCACCCTGTACTCCCAGTTTCATTCAAAGCTAATTTTGACTCAGTCAATGACACATAAATTGAGCTTTAAATAGAATCAATACAAAAAACCTACCGTAATCTAACGGTAAGTTTCCATTCAAAGTTAAATTTCTGTGTCATTGACTGAGCCAAAATTATGCTTTGAATAATTATCGTTAGACTACGGTAGGTTCAATGGTGTCGTTTAGAAAACGAACTAGTATCTATTGTTTAACTTTCTGCTTTTTAACTTGCCTGTCCATCAATTGTTTCAGGGTCACTTTCCTTGTCCAAGGCATTCAAAAATGCAGTCGCTGAGGCGAACATCGGATCGCTTGCCATTCTTAAAGTTAAATTAAAAAAGCTAATAAGCTTTCAGAAAAAACAAACATATTCAACTGTTTCAAACAGCTATTGAATAGAAAAAAAAAAACATAAGAAATTTATTCAAACAATCACAAGTTTCACTTTCTATACTGAAGAATGAGGTTTGTTTTGTGACCACTTCAACAACGTCGAGATCCGGGAAATCAAATAATTTCCTTATAAATGGACGATTCTCTCAAGCCGGTGCCAACAATTAGATTATCTTTTAGTTCTAAAATTCTCAGGGAATAGTTCGCAAAAGTGATCTTCTCCTCTTCATTTGGTTTTCTCACTTGCCAGGAATTTCTGCTGTTGGTGAATTCCAAGCAACTTCTTCAGCTTATCAATCTCCATATCGATCACTTCCCGTTTTCAGTGTTTGCTCCAATTGTTCAATCGAGAATTCGGCATATTCCTCGAAAGCAGAATTCACTGAAACGATTAGGTTCTCCTGAAGAAACGCAAAAAACGGCTTGGCCATTTTTGAGCTTTTCGATACCTTTCCCTGAGAACTTTAAGTTTTGTTGGCTTAGAGTGATGTACAAGGATTTACTTAAAATTTGTTGAGTAACTTGATCATTTTCTTCCTTTTGTCAGCTTTTACCTCACCAACTCTCTTTGTTTGTGAGTACAAAATGTGCATATGAGATTGCCACGAGCATCCACAAACGCTGCAATTCCCTCTTGGACAAAAATTGGGCATTGACGCAAATTCATGGCTCCAATTTGATTCAAAGGCCATTTTGCACTGAACAGCTTTGAAAGCAAACCCGTTTGTAAAAAGTTTCCAAAGCATTCGTCGTCGGATCTCGAATCATTTCCACGCAATTCGGTCCATAACACACTGTATTTGGTTGGGAAATTGGTGTCTCTTCCAAGTATGTCCCTTGAAAAACTTCTTTCTTCGTATCAGCCAATTTCTGCTCCAGAATCTTATGCTGATTAATTTGTTGATCCAAAGCTTTTTGCTCTTGTCTGATCCTTTCATCAAAATCAGCCAAAATGGTGCACAGCTCATGGGTCACTGCACGAACAATGCTCACCACTTTCGTCTCATTCGCCAAGTGCGGATCTAAATCGGTGACAGAATCAAATAATCTATAGGTTTCCTTTACAGTATGATTCCAGGATTTTAAAAGTTGTTGACGCAGGCTTTCTCAAATTGAACTCCTTTGTGATGAGCGTAGAGCATTCTCACCGGTTCGTTATCCAGACAAAAAGTGTTGGCACTGGTAAGTGGGATCTCGTTTTGGTTCTCATTCTTCACGTCTTCAAAAGCTTTCTCAGGACTGTCATCGTGTCTCCTGGTTTGTAGAGAGTGTTGCAAGAGTTCGTGAAAACAACGGAAACGTTTGGAATTGCGTTTCGGTGCAGATTTGCTACCAGTTCAACGATGCAGTATCGAAGTGACAGCGTGAGTCGACTCACATTCGGTTTCAGTAGAAGGCAAATCCCATGAATTTTATCCCATTTCGACACACATTTCATGATCATTCTCCTATTTTCCATGTCACATTCCAAGCCTCGTGTGTCACCGATGCCCGGAGTATCGATGAGATTGAAAGCCACAGTGTCGGTGACAAACCGATAGACTTTTGGTGCCTGTGTGCAGGATTGTCCCGTACTCGCGTTGGCCTCGTTTTTCTCACTTTCCGATGTTTGCTTTCATCGAAACAGGTTGTTTTTCTCAAACTTCTCCCCAGTGTACACGTTGAACTCCAGTGGGATCACGCAAATCCGGTTTCTTTCCATTTAAAGAATCATCAAATGAATCGAATTTTATGTAATTCGCTATACCATTGATCCAAGTTGATTTT